CACCTTCGAGGATTCACCACGTAATGCATGCCACAACCCACTCACAGTAACGGAATGGTCATGGCCGTTGAATTTGTTTCTCATACGTGTTTATGATGATTAAGTTGTTGATGAAGATGATGATGAGTAAGGAGAAGATGATGATGGCTATGCTGATGATATGTGATGTTCATCACGACGGTGACATGAGGATCCAAGTGACATGACGCCTAATTCAGGGCGACCCTTTCAAAATCATGTCAAGGGATGTCAAGGGTTGTCTCTAGAATTATATCTATATATATAATGAGGTGAAGCACGTGTGCTCCAGTTAGTTAGAGTAGTTGAGAGGTTGCCGATGTATACAGACGTGTAGTAGGCAACACATGCAATCGCACACGTGAGCACTGGAGGACGTGGATGGCATGGAGTGGATCGCTGCGGCCAATGGTGAGGATTACTTCGTGATTCATGAGGATGGTGGCAACTGGTACGGAGAGCGCAAGTTCCTGGCCAAGGTTGGTGTCCCTATGAAGTACTACTTCGTCGCGCAGAGTGGCGGCCGTCAAAACTCCCGCGAGCTTGCCGGCGTCAGTTCTGTATCTGGTGTGCACGGCGGCGCGGGCTCCCACGAGTTCTCCGGTGCCTTCGACCTGTCCGGACTACTCCGCAAAGATGCTCCAGGAAACTTTGAGCTTCCGGTTGGAGACCTCACTGGCAAGAAGCGCCAGTTGGAGGCTGCCACGCCCATCAACGAGAAGATCATTGCAGTAAATCTGCAAGCGCACACGAACAGGGCGGGCATTGCTGCCACTTTCGCTTCTGATCGCGTGGCTCAGGTCCTCGCCTACAAGCCACAGGTGCCCGCATAATTTATACATATCTATGCAGGGACAGAAGGATACCCACGTGGTGCTTGCTCTACAGTGTGCCATCTCTCAATACTGTACCACCTTTCGATTGTTCTGCTTGAAAGAATCACTCTCCAGTCGCAGCACCGCAAGGCATACCTTCGAAAACATTTTTGACCAAGGTGCTTTTAGCACTCAGATTGCTGCTTCAGAGCTCCAGCAACCGTGTTGAAGCGCTCTTTTTGTCCAGCAGTTGAACATTCTGAACTGATCCTGTGCAACAGCAAGTGCTGACAAGCGACAGCTAGCACTTCGCATGGGCCTTGTAAGATTTTCCAATGAGTAGCAATGGCAGGGCTGCACCATGGGCTCGCACCTGGACTCCAAAACGGAAGAGCCAGCTGAGTCAGTAACTATCATGGTGGACGGTCTGTTCGAGGCTTTGCTGATAAACGTTTGCACACCGGGAGACGAGCTCATTACATGGAGACACATTTTTTCCTTTTTGTAAAGGGTACCCTCAATTTTGGAAAATCCACAACTATCGCCCAATGAACTTGGCGATTCAGCAAATGGTGGTTTTCCGAAACTAGGGATATCTTTTTGGGGCCCCAATAAGGACGATAGTGTGTAGGGGGTCTATGTTTTTTGAGGTCCCCTATCTATGGGAACTACCAAAATGCCTCCCGGAAGACGAAACACAGGATCCTGAACAACCACTAATTAGTTGGTATCGTGGCTTGATCTTCTTTGTGTGGCCGGGCTCAGGGCTTAGGGTTTAGTTGTACTCCAACCCCGGATCCTGTTTTTAGTGTTCAGGTGGCTACAGTAAATCTCGATGGCTGGATGATGGCCTGCCAGAACGTTTCCCGCCCCTTACATGGTAGTTTCCCTGAATAAGGGGACCCCAATATAGACCCCAATATATTATAGTCCTTATGATGGGAACCCCCAAAAAGGTACCCCTCATTTTGGGAAACCTCTACATACAGCACAGTACGTCAATCCTTCTATGAGGACCTCCAAGCCATGCCTACTTTTGTGAAGCCCCTCGACACCATGATAATACATACATTCCTCTCACGCAAACCCTAGAGCCCTAGACACCACAACATATGCCTACATACCCCCGAAGCCTTTCAAAGGAACCCTATGTGTTGCAACCCTCCTTCCAGCCCAAGTTTGCGAATCCATGGTTTGGATAGGTCTCAACACCATCCCTGTTCAATCCTACTTGGGACTGCCATGGTCCGCTTACATTCCCTATGCGTCCCAGGGGTCTCCACGGGCTCTCCGGATATGGTTTAGGGTTTAGGGTTTGAGGGACATAGAGAAACCATGACATGGAGGCTTCGCGAGCTGCTGTGGCCAGTGGTGACGGGCCAGGGCCCCGGACAGCCAGTGAAGCTTTTGAAAAATGCTTTCCAACATTGCATATCTTTTGTGGGCATGGGGGTATATAGGGATAAATAGGGTGGAGGGTTTAGGTTTGAGGGCTTGGGTTGGAGCAGGAGAGCTACTGCAGTCAGTCGAGTTTCAAACAAAGTCAATCTGGTTTTAGCCTTCTTTCCGGTACCTGTGACGCCCAAGTGGGCATTTTCAGATTGTGGGCCCCTCAAAGAAGTAACTGCGCACACCCCTTTTGAGCCCAAAGTGGTGGCAAACATTATCTCTTGTGCGAGCATCAAAGAATCCGGGGGGGTTGCTTTGACCTGGCGCTTGTGGGTCGAGCCACTTCTCTTTGGATCATCATCCTTAATGATGCCTCATTTGGTGCTTAGTTGAGGGGTAGTGGGCGTTAGAGGGGGGTAGCATAGAATCCTAAGCAAGCCCTAAATCCTTAACCCGAGCCCTAAGCTCTAAAACCTAAGCCCTACGTCCTAAACTCTACACAATTCTAATCTAGCCGCCGTAATCCGCTAGCCATAAGAGTGTGAGCCAAATTATGGGTCAAGCAAGACTGTTTGGAGAAAAGCAGAAGGAAGCGACATCCCTATAGACTGCCATATAACCCATTTCATTGAGCATGTGTTTTTCCTTTTGATTCTCCACTATCGGGGAAATATATCCTTTCATAAGGAGCACCTGCCAGTTGACCAAATCTAAGCCCGAAACCCTAAACCCTAAACCTTCTTGAATCAAGGTAGGGACAATGATGCCAAGGGAGGTCGAAGGCAAACATGCCTCCTGCCATCAACATAAGGACCCTGTTCGGTATCCTATCATAGTCCCACTGTATTGCTATGTTCCTATTCTGTTCCTAGTATTTTTTGGGGGATCCCATCCTAAACCCAAATCCAAACCCAAACCTTAAATCCTTAAGCCGAAATCCTAGCCCGAAACCCTAAACCCTAAACCCTATATTCTTCGGGTTCCCTGTTTGGGGTTCCCATTAAATCCTTTTAATCGCCGGGCAAGGTCCAGCTCAGTGCCAAATGTAGAGGCTTTCCTGCATTGGAGCTATAGGGGGAGATTCGGGTTTAGGGATTTAGGATTTAGGGTTTAGGGTTAAGGGCTTTAGGATTTAG